ACCCCTACTGCTAACCGCCAGCTCCCAGCCAGAGCCCGCCAGGGAGCAAGCGGCTCAACCGAGGGGAAAACATAGACTTTGGTGGGGGATAGAGCAGGGCCTGGTGACACACACCAGGGCGGGCAACAGGAAGTCAGAGCCCTGCAAGGGCCAGGACAAGGGGGGTCCAGAGGAGGAAAGCCCCAGGCAGAGGTGGAGAAGCTGCTCACCGTGATCCTGTAGGTTAGGAGGCTTGGCCCCTTCCTCCTTCCTCTGCTTACCCACAGGCAGGACATAGCAGGACAGCAGAGGGTGTGGGAACCTGGCACAGAAGCAGGGGGACGGAGTCTGAGTACAGCATACATTTGGGAGCTCATCCCAACAGCTTTATAATATGTCGCCCCTTTACTCCCCACAGCAGCCCGAGGAGGGTGCATGGAGTGGAAAACCATGCATTATTCAATCTGATCTCTCTCTCTCCCCATTGACTACATGCACACATCAAGTTGAATCCGCATAAGTTAAATGTGGTATGGTCTCCGTGCTGCTGCTGCCCTAGAGGGCCGAATCCATGAGGGAATCCAAGACATGGGGCCACCGGGCTCCAAAGCTAAACCCAAATTTTGCCTGCAGTGCTCCCCAAGCAAAGAGCCCGAATCTGATGACAGTAGCAATGTTCTCTCCCACCTGCACAGGCCCACAGCATGGGGCCAGCTGAGCATGATCCAGAGAAAGAGGCTGATGTTGCGTGGAAAGTGGGGAGATGGTTTGATAGAGACCCCCCAACATTTATTTGTAAATGGTGAGCTTCTTTAGGGCCATACATCAAGAGGGGCTCAAAAAAAACAGAAATATTTTAAATCTAGTTGGAAAAAGAAGGCTAGTCTTGCACATAATAAGTCTCAATAAATGTGTATTGAACAACTGCATTGAAAGGAGATGTGTATGGTCAGTAGATAACCATGTGGTGGGATGAAGCCAGCAGGTGTTTGTTGGAGTCTCAGTTCTGCCACTCCTCTGAGCCTTCTGTGAAATAAGGATAACTGTGTCCACCTGTTCTGGCAGTTGGGTGATTAAAGATAATACCTCTAAAGTTCCTCAGACATAGTAGTCAAGGCACAGATGAACAAACCACTGGACAAGAGGAGATGAGGGCTTGGAGCCAGGTGGGGAGGCTCTAGGCTAAGAGTGGTCAGAAAGACTTTAGAAGAGGTGGCTCGGACCTTTCCTTCAATGAGAGCAGGGCTCAGGGGGAAAGAATGGAAGACAGTCCACCCTCCATGGGTCTAGGACCTGCTCTTCTTTGATGAGCAGGAAATGGACCAAGCAGAGACAGAGCCCCCAGAGGGCTGTGTCTTAGGTGCTGTGGAGCACGTGGAAGGTGGTGGCCCAGACTGGGGCAGGAGGCTGGAAGGAGGGCTCTAGACATGAAGGAATGGAGAGCATCATTGTTCAGCAGATATGTTAAGTGCTGTGTGGCTGTGAGGACCCCGCAGCAGTGCCAGGTGCTACAGGGAAGCAAAGATCATGATGGGGAGGAGGGAAGAAACGAATGTCAAAGACCTACTGTGTGCAGGGTGCTTTCTGTGTCCCCGAGAACGGTACAGTGTGCACCACAGCAGGGCCTGCCAGAGCTGATCCTTCAGGTGGTGTTAAATGAAATTCCAGGAAGAGAGGATACTGTATATAATTTTATAAATATATTTTAAAAATTTCATTTAAATAATCATGGCATTGTTACTCCATGTTCAGGCTTTTGGAGGGCTTCTATCTTTCTGTTTTCTTTTCTGGTACCTTTTAAAGCCCCAGAGTAAGGTGCAAGTGTATGTTTCCAAAGAACAAAGCCGGGCTGTGTTCTGAGTTTCCTTGGAGATGTTTCTGGGTGGAGAATGGTCCCTCCATGTGCCGGGTCTCTTATTGATTTACCCCTTAGATTCTTATTTAATTCAAAGAGCAGTCTTCATAAACCAGGTCTGCTTTTCTAGCTGTTTGGTATGCAGATGACTTTTTTTACATGGGCAGTTGGATATGGAGGCTGAGAGAACATTCTGAGTGTTCTGGGAGGCTCTAATGTGCCAGAGGAGTTTTTCCAGCCGTGTCCTGCAGAGCGGTGGGCTGAAGAGCTGTGCTCTGCAGGCTGCCTCTGAAGGAGACTGGCGGGGTGCAGCTGCTGGATGGGGGCTGCGGTCAGAATTGGAGGGTTGCTCACCAGGACCAGGATCCTGGGAAGACCAGGAACAGAGGCCATCTCTGGCTGATCTGTGCTGGGCCCCGGGATGGCAGAAAAATAGAATGCCTTCACCTTCACCCTAAACTTTCCAATGTCTTTTGTCTCCAGCCTTGCCTTCTGCCACCCATTCTGAGGCCAGTCCTTCCCTGCCTGCATCTCATTATGTGTCTGTAAGGAGGGACCAAAGGGGACTTCAGTTCTGCGGCTTCAGCCAAAGAGATTCCCTCACTCTTCTTTTCTCCTGTCTCCACCCATGGTTAGAATTAAAGTATTAAAATCTCACTCCAACCACAGCAGATGGGGTTTTTGTGCGTCCCCTAGATAGTAGGACATTGGAGATTCAAAACTTTCTGTAAGAGTTGTTCTGTCCTCTTACCCACTATGGGCCAAGTTGAAAGATTGTTTTCAACCTTACAGAAGAGAGCAATGAGATTTAAAGGTATCTTACAAGCAAAGGGTAGGAAATTTGGGCTTTGGGGTCTTGGGAGTTATTTCTCCCCAGAAGGCCCAAGTCACGTTAGAAGAATACGATGCAGCACCAGGAAGCTAGGCTTGGGAGTCAGCCCTGGGTTCAGATCTTCATGCTGCTCATTGTGGCGGTGGGGGCATTGGGTAGTTGATGACAACTTCCCTGGTCCTTTGTGCAAAAAGAGTGACAGTATGAGCCTCACAGGGCTGATGGGTGCACAGATGGATTAAAGCCTAGGAAAAGCTCTTGGTGCCACCATGGTAGGGAAGGGGCCTCTGTGCAGGGCATTGTCCTTCCTTTACTTTCCCATGACTCCTCCCACCTGAAATGTGTGGGCACACTAGAGGGTAGGGGACGTAATCCATTCACTGAGCACCTCATATGTGCAAGGCATGAGGAACTGAGAACAAAACAGACCTCATGCTTCCTCTCTTGGGATTTTCCATCCAGCACAGAGACAGACAAAACCACCACCACCAAAAAAATTCAAGCCTCGAGTTGCAAACCATAATCAATAGAGTTGAAACACCTCTAAGGGGCTGAATGGATTCTGTTTAGGTGGGCAAGCAGGAAGGGCCTCTCTGGGAAAGAGGCCAGTGGCACAGGGAACTGGAACCAGGGACAGCATATGTCAATGCACTGGGGCTGGAGAGTCTGGCTGTGATCTTGACAGGAAGGAGGCCTGTGAACCAGGAGAGTGGAAGGAGAGGAGACAGGGCTCTCATAAATCAAGGTAAAGGGTTTGGATTTGGATTTGACTATAAGAGCAAATGGAAGCTATTGAGCAAGCAAGTGACGTGGTCCAGTTTACCAAGATATTTCTGATTCCTGGTCCTTGGGAAGTTTCGGTTTGTATGTGCTCAGCTCCTTTCCCATGGCCCAGTGTGGACATCCTGGCACAGTCTGGGAGAGGTTCCCACCTCTCACACAGGCTGTGGCACACTGGGTAGAGAGAGTCCAGGGCATGTCCTCGTGGAGACCAGTTCTGGAGGTACCCACTTGTGTGGTGTGGTGCCCCAGAGTCCAGCCTTGCCCCTCCACACAAGCCCACGTTCATCCCATCTTCTGGCTCACTGAGAGGGCCTTGGGGTGAAGGAGGGATTGTGGGTGACCATATTGTAGCAGCTTGGGAGAGGTTTCTGTAGCAGTGGATGCCCCACTATGAGTTGGTGGAGAACAGCCTCCTAGGTATATTTTATCTTCTTGAAATAATCACCTTGATATTTGGGGAAAGTGGGTTCTGTCAGGTCAAAACCAGGGCCTGGGCCCCACAGTGCCTCCCAGTTTTGGGACAGATAGACTGTCTCTGATCTCCCAGCATCCTTGAGATCCCCACAGAGGCAGTGGAATCTCTCAGCTTCTGGCAGCAGCCTGGCACTGTGAATAGCTGGGGCAGGATGGTGCTCTGCGGCCTGGAGGCTGGAGGAGGGTGGGCATCATGAGCCCTCCAGCTTTGCACCTTTGTCCTGTTACTCAGTCTTGGGCTGAGTAACCCAGGGAAAAGGCAGAGAGATTCACACTGAGCTGTCCTGAGGAGTGGTATTCTGGGACTCCTGCCTCACCAGCTCCCGGGGAATGCGATGCTGAGGAGCCGGCCCCTGAACTTGACATTGGAGTCTCAGCCACTGACGTCAACAAAGTTGAAATGATGTAACCTGACCTTAGGGAGAAGGGGGAGCACACAGGAATCTGGGAAGGGAGAAGGAATCGCCAGAAGGCTGACTAGTGGACAGAACTCAGGTGCAACCCAGCTTGGGCCAGGATGGAATAAGGCAGAGTCCCCCTGACATAGATGTCACAGAAGAAGATGTCAGTGGCAGGGTGCTTCTGGCAGGGAGGATGTGCTATCTGAGCGAGTGGCCCAAATCCTTTCTAAAAGCATTTATCTGACACTATAGCCACCATCAGGTAAGACAGCAGGGTAGACACTATAGACACCATCAGGTAAGACCTTCTGGACACAGGTGACGGAAGTATGGGGTGAGCAACAGCAAAGCCACAGGGGTGTGTCACAGTCACATGGGCTTCACCTGTGCACACGTGTGTGTGCCCCTGTCATACTGCATGTGTGTGCACCTGTCACCCACCTGGGAACGAGGCTCAGCCAAGCCACACTTAGACATGCAGAAGTGCTCCTGGGCCCTCCCTGGGGTACCCTACGCAGGTCTGGTATCGGGCAGCCTGGGCCCTGGCTTCCCTCCATCCTCACACCCTCAGCCAGGAGAAGTTGCAGGGCAGTTCTGGTGGGTGGCAGCCTTCCCTCCCTGAGCCCACTGTGGACATACTGTGCCACGAGCATAATTCTGCCCTTGGATTTTCCAGGTGGACTTCCTGATTGAAAATGACGCAGAGAAGGACTACCTCTACGATGTGCTGCGGATGTACCACCAGTGAGTGCGCTGGGTCCAGCTCCCACAGCGGGGTTCCAGGAACCCTGGCAAGGGCTGTTTCTGAGACAGCAGGGCCTAGGGAAGCAGATGCTCCTGGGAATCTGATACATACACCATGCACTTGCTCTAGCAATGATGACACATAAAATGCTGGGCTCATCGCTGTGCTAAGCAAAAAGGATCCATTTGTGAGCAAGAGGGACTGGCCCCGGCCTTCAGGTTGCTCATAGCTGCTGAGTAGCCAGATGAGTTCATTAGAGCACGACCATTGGGACAGAATGAGAAGTGCCAGCTGGACCCAGCTGCTATAGCACATGTTTCTGGTCACACACTGGCTTTTTGATTCTTTCAGCATGCATTTAGTTGCAGGGCCTCATGCAGTATCTGCAGTGAGTAAAATCCACTTTCTCTCCTTAAGTTACTCCTGGTGTGGTGGAGGGAGAGAGACAGGCTCTGTGAACATCAGTATAAGTTAGTTACAATAAAAAGCTTGCTAAGTGGAGGTGAAAGCAGGAGCGTGTCCAAAGGTGTTTTTGCTTCTATCCATGGGTACAGGGAGGTGCAGGAAGGCTTGAGCTGGACTGTCAAGGATAAGAAGGGTTATAGGTGGGGTATCAGGGAAGTGCATTCCAGGATGAGGGCTCAGCATCAGCAAAAGTACAGAAGAAGCCTGGAAACACAGAGTGTGAGTGGGAAAGAACAGATAATGCAGCTTGGGGTCGGACTTGGAATATACAGAGAGGCATCAGAAGCCCATGGAGATGATCGTGGGGGCCCTGGACCTACCAAAGAGGATGGATTTTTTTTCTCTGGAGAGTAGGGAAGTATTGAAGGGTTTTGAGAAGGGAAATGACATGCACGTAAAAAAGATTAGATGAGAATGAGTGATGCTGAGGGTCTGAATGGCGTGAATCTATATGAGAGATACAGTGAGGGTAGGGCTCTTGCAGCATAGCACCTCGTCAGACAAGGAGGTAAGGGTCTGAGAGAGAACATCAAACTCTTACACCAAGGCTTCCTGTCCGGAAAGGCTGCAGACTTCAGAACCTGGCACAGTGAGTTTGAAATCCTGGTTTGGTTTCGTCTGCAAAATGAGTTCACCTTCCCTAGCTCACTGATTTCCTTGCGATCTTTACTTGAGAGGACAAAACTCTTCCAAGAGTTCCAGGCTCTGAGCTTTTCAGGAGTACTCTCCTTAATTTCTGGGCCTGGGCCCTAGAGGTAGGGACCCAGCCAGGAACACAGGTTGTATCCAGGGCTAAGGCTCCACGCTCTCCCATGTCTCTGCAGAACTATGGACGTGACTGTGCTTGTGGGAGATCTGAAGCTGGTCATCAATGAGCCCAGCCGCCTGCCGCTATTTGATGCCATCCGGCCCCTGATCCCACTGAAGCATCAGGTGGAATATGACCAGCTGACCCCACGGCGCTCTAGGTACCAAGGGAGCCACCAGGCTAGAGGCAGGGATGGAGAGCACAGAGTTCCTCACTCTAGCAGGGCAGCGCTGGCTGTGAGGACTGAGCTGCAGTCTCAGTGACCACCCTCCCACCCGGCAGGAAGCTGAAGGAGGTGCGTCTGGACCGTCTGCACCCCGAGGGCCTTGGCCTCAGCGTGCGTGGTGGCCTGGAGTTCGGCTGTGGGCTGTTCATCTCCCACCTCATCAAAGGTGGCCAGGCAGACAGCGTCGGGCTCCAGGTGAACACGTTGGACCTGTGGGGTGGGGGACCTGGGCCTCAAATTCCTGCCTCCTCCTCAACTATGGTCACCAGCTTTTCTGAGCCTTTGGAGCAGAAGAGGCTGCCACATTCTGACCAGCATTCATCGGCCCATTGAAATCAGGCCACAGGCAACTGTCTGTCTGTCTGTCTGTCTCTTTCTCTCTTTCTCTCTTCAGCACCTAAACCCAGAGCCTTCACAGTAAGCTACATCTCTGACTCACCACCCCTTTTTTAATCTTTTTTTGAGACAGGGTCTCCTATGTAGTTCAGGCTGGCCTTGAACTCACTATGTGGCATAGGCAGGCAATCCTTCTGCCTCAGTTTCTGAGTTCTGGGATAATAAATGTGCACCATTAAGCCTATCTTTTTTATTTTTTATTTGGAGACTGAGCCTCAATAAATCACTAAATTGCTGGGCTTGAACTTGCTATTCTCTTAAACTTGCTTCAGACTCCCAGAGTACTGGGATTACAGGTGGGTGCCACCAGAGTCAACAGCTGCCTGCCACTACCCACTGAAGGAGGAGCATGGTTATGGCCAGACACTGAAAACTTGGTGCCTGTGACCTGCGAGCAACAGGGAGAAAGAAAACCCAGTGTGGTGCTTGAGAATGCAGACTCTGAAGCTGGACTGTCCAGCTCACACCCTGGCTTTCCTATCCATTGAGCCATGGGACTTTGGTGAAATAGCCTAACTCCTGACCTCCATTTCCTCATCTGTAAAATGGGATGGTGATAAAACTTGCCTCATCAGGTTGCATGAGGAGCAGATGAAATAACATGAGAAGTACTTCAAATGCCAGGCATATAAATGATGCGTTTGACAGCAAGAAGAAAGATTTAGTGAACACCTCAGTGCATTGGGTGACATGGACACAACCAGTTACCACTGTCACATCAATTGTGTCATCCGTGTTTTACAGTTAATAGCAGTGTAGCAGCTTGGAGGCCAGACAATGGCCAAGGCAGGACTAGAACTTGCGCCTCCTGAAGCTGAGCTGGGGATCTCAAGTGTCTGTCCCCTGAGGTCCCCTGCACTGCTGTGTCTGAGTGACCTCCAGGTCGCCTCCTTCTGGAGCCCGAGCTGTGTTGTCTGCCCTGATCAAGGAGCCTCCACTGTCTCCAGAGCTCTGGGGCGTTTGCTATCAACATCCCATCAGGCTGCCGAGCCAGGGGCTTTGAAGGGGCTCGGGGACTAATGGTACAAGACAGGGAGGGGGTGAGGTGGAGATGGGGGGCTGACAGACAGCGCTTTGTTCTCAATCCCTGTCTCACGGCTTGCCTTGCCGACCGCTTCTGAAATTTCAGCCTCTTCATTATTTCTTTCCTCTGTGGCACATTTTCCAGCCCAGAAATGCGGCCAGAGACAAAAACATAATGAGCTTCTCTTGGCGTCCGCTGAGGCCTCTTTTGTGGGTGAGCTCTGCTCCTAGGATGGGTGTTTCTCAGCTGGCCTGGTCAGTGGGGCCATGCGGACATTTTAATGGAAATGACAGTCTTACCCTCTCAGCTCTTTCTCAGGCTCATGAATCGTTGACCCTTTCTTGGGCCTATGGCTCATCTCTCCTTTGTCCTGCTGTCCCTCAGATCATCACAGCATCTTGGTCTCCACACAAAGCCCTTTTGCAGGTTCTATACCCAGCAAGGAGAGGGAAGTTGATCTTGTAACCCAAGCTGGGGGCTGTGTGGGAACCACTAGGCCTGGATCCTGGGCTAGTTCTCTGTGGGAACCAGGCAGGGAATGGCACTCAGAGGAGCCTGGGGGAGAAGGCTGCATTCATTGACTGGCCTGGGTTTGAGTCTCAGGGGAGAGCTTGTGCCTGACGAGAAGGCAAAGGAGGGGCCGATTCAGACAAAGCCCAGGCTGGGGGTCCTGTGCTGCTTTGCCCTGTGAGGCTGGGTCCCCTGTAAGGGCTGGGAGCCTCCAGTAGGACGTAGGCCTGGGGCTCTATCCCTCTATTCATGCCTTCTGCTGGTTAGGTTAGATTTTTAAAAGTTTATTCTGTCTTACCCATGTCCTCTGCCCTGCACAGAGCAGCCTGTGCTATACAATTTGCTGTATGTTCTAGGGCCAGGAGATACTCTCTGTGCCTGGGTTGTCCTTGCTGTCAAATGGACAGGGTAAGCCCTGCCTTCCAGTGGCACTTGAGGGTTCTGACAGGTGGCAGAGATCCAGAGAAAGCAAGATTCGGAGATGTTCGCCCATGTGCTCTTCTTTCTCTTTCCAGACACCAAGGCAAGGCTTGATGTCTGTCAGGGAGACAGGTGTCCAACCCTTGCAACCCCGTTAGCTTACTGGGTGACCTTGAGCAAGTCATTTCACCTCTGAGCCTCTACTTCCTCCTCTGATTCACAGAGACACAAATTCCCATGTTGTGAAAAACAGGTGCAAATTGCCGACTGGTTCAGCTCTTTTTGAATCCAGTGTCCCCAAAATCTTAGAGCCCCCATGTTTTGTGCCTTTTCAAGCCCTTACCACAACTGTCAAGATCCCGAGAAGATGGAGGTCTGTGTCATGGAGTGGACAAGTGACACCGCAGGAGCCTTGTAGGTTGGGAGCTGGACCAGAAGTGTCAGGCAGGACCCAAATGCCTGGAGGAGGCTGCAGCAGTGTCCAGCAGGGGGCGCTATCACCAGGGTCTGACATGGGATTCCCATGTCCTGTGACCTAAACTACTGTTAAGAGCAATCTGAGCAGAGTGTTAGGATAGGACTTAAGATAACAATACAATTGCTTACTGAATGCTTGCTGTATGCCAGGTACATGTGGCTTTACATACATGGCGTTCACATAATTCTTCCAGCAGTCACAGTATTCCCCATTTTATAGATGAGGAAAACACAGGTCACACAGTCAGTAAGGCTAAAAGCAAGGGTTGGAACCCAGAATAACAGATATCTAAGCCTTGGGCTCTGTTGCTGTTCTTTGATTGCTCCCAGAATAGTAATTCAGAGGTCAGGGTCATGGCAAAGTTAAAATGTCTATCAAGTTTCCCTAGAATGGAAAAAAAGGGATCCTGTTGGTGATGCGAGCTTGGCTGGGAGTCATAGATCCCCACCGGTGTCAGTTACGGTGTTGCAGTGACTGATGGGGGCAGGGAGCCTGCTTCTCAGGGGCAAAGTGGGACAAAGCCCAGGCAAGCTGCTCCGTGCTGGGCAGAGGGTCACCCTTTGTGCAGACTCTAGAACCTGATGGTGTCCCAACAGGGTGAAAGGGGCACCATAGTGAGAGGACAGAGTCCTGAGTCCTACTCCTGGCTCTGCTACCACTCACTGAACTCCTCGGCCCTTGGCTTCTCCACCTGTAAAATGGGATGGAGGAAATACTTGAGAGACCAACTACCCTGGGGTCCTGTAGGCCGATGGACGTTGGGTTGGTTGTGACAAGGCACCAAGGTCTCCTCTGAGGGACTGGGTGGCTGTCCCCTTCGCTGGAGAGGAGGCCGCAGGCATCTGGTGGTGGCCCGTCCCGCTGCCTGACATCCCTAATGCTCGCTCCTCTCTTGCCCAGGTGGGGGATGAGATCGTCCGGATCAATGGCTATTCCATTTCCTCCTGCACCCACGAGGAGGTCATCAACCTCATCCGGACCAAGAAAACCGTGTCCATCAAAGTGAGACGTGAGTGAGGCTGGGGAGCTGGGTAGACAGTGGGGTTCTCAGCTCTTGTGGGAAGGGGAGTGCAGGGGAGCCATCCTAACACCAGCACCTTTCTCCCGTAGACATTGGCCTGATCCCTGTGAAGAGGTGAGCAGGACCCGCTGTGGCAATCTTTTCCTGGTGATCCAGTGTCCTGGTAGCAGCCTTGGGGCCTGGCTTTCCCTGATCCTGGGCCAGTGAGGGAGGATGCAGATGTGGCAAAGCTGGATGTGAGGTCTGGTCCCTCAGACACTTTTCACTAACAACCTCCCTTTTTCTTTCCCTTCCATCAGCTCTCCTGACGAGCCCCTCAAATGGCAGTATGTGGATCAGTTTGTGTCAGAATCAGGGGTAAGGGTCAGGGCCACCTGCGATGGAGGTGGGTGGGGTGGCCTTCCTAGAGAGGTCTTAAAGGAGGAATTGCTCTAGAAAGGATTCCCGAGGGCTTCACAGGCCCCCAGGATACGCAGAGAGTCCCTACGGGGTGATGTGCCCTCAGCTGGCCCAGCTGATACAAACCCACACCCAGAGAGACAGAGAGGCCATCTGGATTGTGTGAGCTTAGCAGTGCCTGTTCTGAAGATCTTATAAGCTCAAGAGCCCATGTGCATGCACGTGGACACCCAGTGACCCTGATTCTGTCCCCTCTCTAGGGCGGGCAGGGCAGCTTGGGCTCCCCTGGGAATCGAGCAAACAAGGAGAAGAAGGTCTTCATCAGCCTGGTGGGCTCCCGGGGCCTTGGCTGCAGGTGGGTGCCAGGCACACCCTTGGGTCTCATCGTGGCTGCAGACACCAGCAGGCCCTCATTCCTCTCTTTCCTCACTGCTGCTCCTGAGGACCTCTGTTCACTGGAGATTTATCTGCTTGAAGACCCTTCTTGGTGCCTGATTTTCCCCCTGAATTTCACAATTGCCGGGGAGGCCCAAAGGGGCAGCTCTAACAGGTTCCATTTTATAGATGAGGAAATTGAAGCCCAGGGCTTTCCTTGGATGGGTACTCAAGTCACTGTAAAAAGATCCCGTCCAGCTGGTCATCTCTGTGACAGTTCTCTCGTCACTGATAACCTTGTGGGCTTCCTTGAGAGGTAGCCAGGGATTCGAAAACAGGCCTGGGGCCATACTAAGAACCCTTGTTAATGTGCTGCAGGCATTCACTTGTCAGTGCAGCCTTACTCTGTCACCTACAAGCTACATGGATTACAAGGACCAGATATTTAAACACCCTGAGCCTCAGTTTCCCCTTCTGTATCCATGCCACAGGATGGATTACAAAGGGCTTAAAAAAGCTTTTCTGTTTAGGGAAATGATAGCCCTAATTCAGAAACCAAACACATAAATGATTATAATGCAGAGTGACTCTGATGGGGCTACATGCTAGGTCAAGGCTGGCAAAAATGTTTCCTGTCTGTGCCATCTCTAATCACTCAGGAGGGTCATCTGGGACACTGTCCTGCAAAAGATTCTAAGGCTGTGCCCAGCTAATGGGAAAGAGAGCTGTGATGGATTAGTGATGTCTGTCACACATATCAGTGAGGAGAACAGTGCCAAGCATCATCCTCAACATAGTTTTAGGAGCACTGAGGAAGGGGCAAGTAGCTGAATCTTGGGCCAGAACAAAGGGTCTTGTGGAAATGTGGCAGGGAAGAAGGTAGCATTTGAGTCATAGGGATGAAGGAGAGAGAGAAGGAGCAGCACGGTGGCATACTAGGTGAGAGGTCGGATGGGGGGATTACAAACAGTTGACTGTGGCTGTTGCCCAGCGCAGCAGTGGACAGCAGGCTGGGAGTGAGACAGTGTGGGGGCCTTGTGGGACAGGGGTTTCCTGAACACTGGACGCCCGAGCAGAGGGTGACAAGCATAACACAGAACAAGCAGAGGCAGGGAGTCACCTGCTTTTCCCACTTCCCACAGCATTTCCAGCGGCCCCATCCAGAAACCCGGCATCTTCATCAGCCAAGTGAAGCCTGGCTCGCTGTCTGCGGAGGTGGGGCTGGAGGTTTGTGCTGGGCTGGCCTGGGACAGCTGTGGGGTCAGGCTGGGACGGCACATGGACGGTGACCCTGCCTTCCTACACAGCCCACTCCTGGCCCTCACTGACTGATGATTCCTCTTTATGGCCCAGTCCTCTTTATGCTCACAGAAGAGATGACATTTGATTTCCTTACAGTTTCCTCCAACCCTGAAAGTCATCGGTCCTGAGTTTGGGATGTAGTAATAATAAGCAGAGTTGACATTCTGAGATGTTTTTCCAAGTCTTTCAGATTTTACAAGAATGCTTACGATTAGGCCTGTCTGTTATACCCATTTTACAGGGAAGGAAACTGAGACCCAGAGAAAGTATGTGATTTTTTTCAAGGTCATGTCCCTAGTATGGTAGGGCTGGGGTTTACAAAGGTGGTCTGATGACAGAGCTGGAACTCTTAGCTCCCCTTTTGGACAAGTTACTTCATGTCTCTGCTTACAGTGTCCCTCCCATAAAATGGAAATGCTGGAACCTTTCTTCCTAGGACTTTATGTGGATTAAATTAACTTATACCTATGCCAGAACTGTGCAGACACATAGTAAGCAATTTATGGGTTTTAGCTTTTATAATTATTACGATGATCATAATCTAACACAGCCTCTCCTGGATGAGAAACCCAAAGGGTCTTGCATCTAATAATTGATATTTACAGTGCAAATATCCCAATTTAGACAGGTAATTAACCTCTGGTGGTGTAAGATTGGCTAACCTGTGTCGTAGTTATGGAGTAAGGATTGTAGGAATGAGTCCAGATGCTGTGTTACAACCTTCCAATGACTCTGCTTATTGGAAAGACCAGGCGTTTAAGCCTGGCCCCCCAGGGGAGCCCATTCTACAGACAAGTCAGTGTAAGGGTGACACAAACTCGCTAACCCTTCTCCATTCCTCATCAGCCGGGGGATCAGATTGTGGAAGTCAATGGCATTGATTTCTCCAACCTGGACCACAAGGAGGTAAGATGCATGGCCCTCCCTGTCTCCGACCCTGCTTCTCAGCCTGCCCCGCCCCATGCAGCCTAAAACCACCTGCTCTCTCCGCCTGGCTGCCTGGGTCTTTGAGTCAGGACCCAGCTGACTGTCCCCTGTCCTCACAGGCCGTGAATGTGCTGAAGAGCAGCCGCAGCCTGACCATCTCCATTGTAGCCGGAGCTGTAAGTTCAGAATAAGATGGTGGAGCCCTAGGGACCCCTGACTGCCCACCCAAGCCCCTTTGACCCCTGATCTCTGCCACAAACTTCTGGTCAGGGCCAAGAGATATCCTTTCTTGAAGCTCTGACAGCAGAGGCAAGGGGCTTCTATCCTGAAAGAAGTTTGAGTCTGAGGCCTCTGGGGACTCGGAGCCTGGTCCTGGGGGTGCAGTGCCAAGAGGACACCTACACGTTGGCTCCCGGGACCATGATAGTGGAGACCCAGGCTCTCCAGGGAACTGAGTCCCCGTTCTCCCCACGAGGGCCGGGAGCTGTTCATGACGGATCGGGAGCGGCTAGCAGAGGTGCGGCAGCGGGAGCTGCAGAGACAGGAGCTGCTGATGCAGAAGCGGCTGGCCATGGAGTCCAACAAGATCCTCCAGGAGCAGCAGGAGATGGAGCGGCAGTGAGTGGCAGGGCAGGGCCCCAAACAGCTCTCGGTGACCACCTCAGCCTCGCTCCCCAGACTGCCTGGCTCCTTCCTCCTTGCTGAGCGAATCCCTGATTTCTAGGCTCCAGAACTGTGCAACACTCAGCTCCTTCCAGCGGTAGCTAAGTGTTGAGGCCCCACTTTGCACTATATGACTGACTCTGTATTAGAGACTTGCTTATACTCCTTCATTTAATTCCCACAGTGGCCCTGAGAGGTAAATGGCACTAACCGCATTTGCAGGTGAGGAGGCTGAGCTTAGAAAGTGGAAGGTGTTTGTGTGCAAAGTCACACATGTCCAAGCTGGGTTTCATACCCAGCAGTCTGCCTCAAGGGCCTGGCGGTCCCCTAGGGTTACACACCTGTGGTGATCAGCTATCCCCACCAGGTCATTGAAAGAATTAAAGTACTATAAAAATTCAAATGCAGATACAGTCTCAGTACTTACTACGCCCTCGGAAAAGGAGATAGAGAGGCTATCACCATCTCTTCCGCCACAGAGTAACCCAGGATGTCATTCCTGATTAGCAACCCTTGTTCTGCCCCAGGATATGGTCCCTCCACTAAGAGGACCTCACTCAGCCCAGGCTTTATCAGTTACTTAGGGTTTGGAGGGGCAGCATGAAGAGTGGCCCTCACTTGGATCTGCCACCCAGTTCTTGTGACACAGATCATGTGCCCAGCAGTGCTGGACAAAACCCCCCAGAGCCCAGGACCTGGACTGCATTGGCTGGGTTCCCTGCTCACAGGCTGATGCAGGCGTGCTTGAAAGAGATGCTGGAGAAAACATGGAAAACTTTGCTCACATTGGGGGTTAGCCACAGGAAGAGTTAACTTCTCCTGTGCAGACTCAAACCTGCCACCCTGCGTTTGTGTTGCAGAAGGAGAAAAGAAATTGCCCAGAAGGCAGCAGAGGAAAATGAGAGGTACCGGAAGGAGATGGAACAGTGAGTACTCGGGTTCATGTGTGGCCTTCTGGTCCCCCTGTGGATCCTCCTTTATTTATAGCCATCTCATAATCCTGGCAAAGCCTGTCATCTCAGAGCAGCTGGGCACAGCCTTATGTAACTGGCTCTTAGTTTAGCACACCGGCTCCAGGCACTGTCCTGCTCTCCACACTAGACCCATGAAGCCTCTTTCCGGGTGCTCAGGTCCTCTGGTGGGCAGGAGATGGGCCTGCAGAGGTTCTGACTGCAGTCACAGTCGTGGGCTCTCATTTCAGGATCGTGGAGGAGGAAGAGAAGTTTAAGAAGCAGTGGGAAGAAGACTGGGGCTCCAAGGAACAGCTCCTCGTGCCTAAAACCATTACCTCTGAGGTGCATCCAGTTCCCCTTCGAAAACCAAAGTGTATGTATCACACGCTGCGCACCTGAGGGTGCCCTTCTAGGGCCTGAGAAATGCTGTTCTCTCCACCCACCACTCACTGTCACCTCCCTGGTGAACAGCCTGTGGTCCTCTGGGCTGCTTTTCTTCAAGGAGAGGCAGTCATTTGTCAGAAGTCATCTCGCAGGGTCCCAGGGTGGGGGAATCTGTCTGCCCTCTTTCTTACCTGGGCATCTGAGCCATATATCTGCTTTCCCATGGCACAGATACCGCTGGGCCATTGGGGTGCTGCAAGGGCTTGGGGAGCTGGGTGAAAGTGGAACTAGCTCAGTAGATTATTTCCTTAGTTTGTGGGTGTTGTGCTCCACTGGTTCTGGGCAGAGGCTGGGGTGAAGCCAGGAGCAAGAAAGAGGAAGGAGCTCTGGTGGTCCATGGTGGATTGGCCTTGGAGGGAGGAGCTGGCCTGAGTGCCCCAGCGCTATATGCCTGCGTATGTGCTGCTGTCACTCCACTCCAGGGTGCGGGCAGGTCCAGGCACTGGCTTGGCCTGATGACTGCACCATGGTCCCCAGCTCGCACCACCTTTCCCATCTCCCTTCTTCGTTGGCCCTGCAGTCTCACCTCCAGTTTCAGTCCAGGTCCCCACCAACTGCTCTCCCATCCACCAACTTCTAACATGTGATTCAAGAAGCAGGCCAAACTGCCAAGGCAAATGGGAGCTTCAGTCTCACTATTTCTTCATGAAAATACTTTCTTCTTCATAGCGGGGGGCTCCCGGAGCAAGGCATTGTGGGGGCCAGGGCCATCTCCATTCCAGCCTGGTTGGGTCTTCACCCAGCTGATGCAATGTGTGACTGGCACAGACAGATTCTGCTGCAACCAACTATGCTCACAAGAGCACAGGGCCTGAATTTGAGAACCTCCAGATGGGGCCAAGGCCCAGGACTCCCCATCCTGGTGTGTGGCAACCACTTGGGAAGCTCTGATAGTTCTCTTGCAACTTTGGATCATACCCAAACCTAAACTTGCCACCTCAGGCCACCAAGAGTAAGAAAGAGGGTCCATTTCACCCTCTGTTATGTACTACAAACAGCTCCCAGCATACTCCTTCCTGGCAGCAGGGCACTGTGTCATCTTATGGCCCTCTGAGAAGGACAAAGCATGCTCTCATTGGCCTCCACCATGACATTCATTAGCTGAGGATGTGGCTCAAGCTAAATTCCTGGCAGGCAATCCTTGTTTTAGACGAGCGACTAATTTGCTGCTGAGTGAAACAGAAGCTTCAGGAGAGAAATCGATTTTAATTGCTTCTCATGATACTCATCCTAGTTGATGTAGTATTGTCCTAGAAACTGGGTCTCAGCTTCACAAAAAAACACACCTTTTCAGGAACAATAAAAAACTCTTTCACTAGCTAGCTATTTATTTATAGCTTTTTAAGCAAATCAGATTTCTTGAATAAAAGGAGCAAGAATTTTGCCTTTCCTCGAGGTTCGAGTGTTCTAAGACCTTGCTACAAAGCGTGAGATTGATGGCCCCAGTCTTGCCCACTCATCTGGGGCAGCTGCTCCACTGTCCATCTCTACATCACCCACAATTGAGTTCTCATCTGGAGATAAGTCAGGAAAAGCTTAATTTCTTCAGTGTCTGCCTGTCTGTCCATTAGAAGGAGGCTGGGACAGGCAGAGCCAGTAGGACCTGGCCAGCCAGCCCCTCTGATTACCCTGCAGCTCCGGGACCCCATTGGCCAGCAGGTCCGATTTGACTCAGACTTGTGGATCCTGCGATTTTGAGCAAACAGGAAAGAATGTGATCCATCTCTACCTGCAACGTGAGGTCACCCAGCCTAGCTGACTGCTCCCCAGCTGCGCCAGTTGTTTCTGCTCACCCATCTCAGGCCAACCCAATAGCACCCTGTCATTCTGCCAAGCTAGAATGTACTGACTCAGAGACCCCTAAAAGACCTTTCCTTAGCCCAGGCAGCGGGACAGGGTTGAGAGTATCTTTACTAAGGACCCCAGAACTGGAAGGGGCCTTTAGGGGTGAGGTTTAAAGGAGACATTCTGGCCTTCACCTCTCAAGGACCACCCTAGCTCACCTCCATCAGTAGACCTGTGATTGGGAGGTGAAGGTTTTATCTTTTTCTGCCAAACCACTCAGTAATCCTCCATGTCCCCCTTGTTTTATTAGTAAGCGAGCATCTTCTTGTTGGCAAGAGAGTATCTGTATTCCAACTGTTGAATAAATGTGATTCAAACCAAAAAGCAAAGAAATTTAACATATGGCCTTTGAATAGGCCAAGAAAGCCTATGTAATTTAAAAGCAGTTCACAGGCAGGCTCATACACCACCTACCAGAGTCCCAGGGAGACTAGAGGCCAGGTTGGAAATAGCTACAATGCTGACTTGTGAGTCTCCTTGCATGCATGATGTCCAGATTCCTGTTTTCTTAGTACATGGGCCCTGTTTGCCTTTGGGATTTTGCCACCACTTCCGAACATAGCTCAGACAACCCCAGAAACCAGAGCCTCCTGGGAAAGATGGAGAGAAGAAGGCAAAAGGATCCATTCTCCCACAGCAGGCCCTTGCCTTCAAAGGGGTATAATACTGGCTATTCCCATCTCACCACACCTGCCATCATTCAACCCACTACCTTGCAAAGTGATTCTCATGCTGCTGTCAGATCAGAGCTCTTATTGTTACCCACTTTACAGAGAGAGAATCCAGGGCTACTGAGATTGAAAGCAGTGCAGGTACCAGCCATAAGTGGGCCCCTGTGCCAGCCTGGACCTTACAGCATCCCTGGAGGAAGCTGGGCATAGGTTTCTGGGCTCCTGGGAAGTTCATCTGACTTTCACTCTCCCAATCCTCCCAGTTCATTAGCTTTTTCCTCTTTTCCTGGGGTAGATGATCAGGGAGTGAAGCCTGAGTTCCAGCCTGAAGACGACCCGGATGGAGGCACAGAGGAGCAGGGAAAGCAGGTTGGCGCCCCCGCTTTGCTCTCTGGCCTGGCTGCCCTGCTTGCCCTGCCCACCACCTCCTGAAGCAATGCACACATGGGCTCTTAGGGGCTGGCACGTGGTGGGAACCACTGGAGCTTGTGAAGCTCCTGTAAGCCCTGACATAAAACCCTAACAGGACTTGTGGCCAGGCTGATAAGTCAGCAGGTGCACACCAGTACGAATGAACCTCTGATTTAAACATTTAAGTACTGCCCAAGCGCAGGTCCCTGCTCTGCTGCTTTGGCCTCTCCTCACAAAACTCCCTAGTCCCCTCCCACTTGCAGCATCTAAGGGGGCTGTGCCTGGCACAGCACCAGCTTTCAAAAGGCTGGTCCAGCTCTCAGATGGTCAGGGGTGGACAATCATTTATGCTGTGACCTCCAGCCCCAAAGGGCTCAGCTTTGGGTCATTGCCTTTCCAGGCTGGGAAGTAGAGGGCTATCCCTGTTTATCCACCCTAAATGGGAATGTGCTTTTCTGCGGATGCATCTTCTCCCCCACTGCTACTGGCACATTCTTCTTGGGTTGACCTGGCCCCTGCCTCTCTTACCATGTTGAAAGCGACCTACTTGTTCTGTGGTGTGAGACAAGACAGGTTTGTTCTGCTTGATAGCGATTCTAGGCAGAGACCCAGGCTTATTTTTGTCTCAGGTCATTTTTTGGATGGAGGACCCAGGCATCAAGTGGGAGAGGGCTTTTTCTCTTTCAGTGGGGCTTTGTTTGGAGATCATGTCTGGGGTTGGGAAAAGTTTATCCTCTCTCAAGGGGTTTGTTCCATGCTTTTCTGGCACTGACTTCTGAAGCCAACATCCCGGGGAGGGCTCAGAGCCTTGCAATGGGATATTTCTCAGGTTGTCTTGGGGCTGCTTTACCCCAAGGGAGGCCAGGTAAGTGGAGAATCGGGCAAAGGATGTGGCTTTGCGGTTGGCCATTGTTGCTCTGTATCTCACAAAGCCACATGTTCTCTGGAAACCTCGTTCCCAGCTGCTGCCATGGAAGATCTGACCCCATTGAATGATGTCTCACCATTTTGTTCTGTATGTTCTTATAGCCTTTGGGTGGTTTTATCGTTATGATGGCAAATTCCCAACCATCCGCAAGGTAGGACAGGACCTGAGTGCTGTGCCGATGTGCGGATGAGTTTGCTGTGGGTTGTTGCTTTTTCCCAGCATTTCTTTTCCTGTCTGCTCTGAACCTTGTGACCTGGCCTACTTGCTCGGAAGGCTAATCCACTCTGTGCTTTGCTGTCAAGCTGATGCCACATGTCAGGGCACCATTACAGGGACCCTGCAGATGTTCCCGGCATGAGGCCTGCCCCAGGGGCAGTCAGCTTCTGCACCAGCTCCTGTGGTACAAGCCAGGGGCAAGAAGGGAACTTCTGCTTTGTTCTATCATGTAGAACCAGGGTCCATGATAGTGTAAAACAGCAGTGTGGCTCATGACACTGAGTGTGCCAGATGTAGATTGGCTGACTGTGCAGGGGATTTGCTACCTCCTTTGGGATCAGAACCACACCAACCACACCTCCTTGCTGTGACTGTCTTTGTGTGCATCCAGGATCATGCATTTTTCCAGTCTCCAGAGCCTTTAATTTTCTCTCTAAATCTTATTATAGCATCTCCAGGCCTCATAAAACTCTCTTGCCCTTCGTCTTTCCTAAATCACTTTGGCATTTGATTATGAAAATGCCACTGTTAATTTCTGTAGATTTGACATTCAAGATGGCTTGGTATTTGGAAACCAGGCATCGGCATAAATCTGAGTGAGCTGAACTGGAGGTTATCCCTTTACTGGCTCTCTCTGGCAGGAAGTGTCTGGGCTACTCAAGATTGGTGACTTCAATGATCCTTAACTTCTTCCTCCCTATAGATGGGGTATCAGATGTTCCAGAAAAATGTACTCCTTTTCTCCAGCATGTACCCATTAAGATAGCAGACAGCAATATTCCTGACATAAGAGAACAGTAGATTGTGATTTGTATAGCAATGAATCAACTTAGGACAGGACTTCTTGGAGATTCTTTCCAGCTGTATCCTGGTTTCAGAAAGCACCTGGCCACTTAAGACTGTTCATTTCATTTTATAGGCTGACTTTTAGCTTAGAGTGGTTCACTGAATTAGTTTATTAATCCTTCTCTACATACTGTCACTATTAGAATTCAAGTGGACACACACACACACACACACACACACACACACACACACACACAAATGAGATTTCACTGAAAAAAAGGAGACAGGTAGACCAGACCATTTCCAAGCCCTAACAATTGTGCAAGTGTAAAAGAGCCAGCCTCTTGCACATACACATCACAACTGACTTCACTTGAAAGTTTCCATTGGTAAAGACGTAGGGCTGGCTGCTCCCTATTCATTAGTTCTGTCATTTCAGAAGCAGCTGGTATTTTGATTTTTGTGTTCATTTCCAAAAAAGAGAACCATTTCTTTTAGGTGGAAGCAACAGCACATTACCATATGCCTTCCCTCTCAGCCTGGACTGAAAAGATGTTTGCCATGGGTTTGAAACTGACAGCTAAAAGGACAACATAGTCATATGCCTCACAATGGCTCTGGAAACCCGTTGCATACTGACTAGAGCCATGGAGATGCTTTGTCTTCCAGCAGCTGGAACACTGAATCCCTACATAATGTAAGGAGAGGTCTTGGCCATGATCATCAATGCACAAAACCTCCCTAGAAAAAGATTCAGTGTCTCTCTTCCCACTCTCACAGTGAGACCTCATAGGACTCCAGGTCTTCAGTCTATGGTATCACAAAGTCTGTGCCAAAACTTGGGGGATTCCTGGTTCTGGCTAAGACCATTCATCAGAACTGCTTGAGTAAATCATGTGGAGAAGTTCTGCGTGTAGGAGCCTGGTCTTGCAAGGGAGAAAGATGCACACATTACTAAATTAGTGCATGGAGGTTGTAGAAGTTCTGTGGGCAATGCTGTGGAGCAGTCTGCCCTCTGTGTCTCTAAGTGGATGCTGTTTTATTGAAGATGACAGAAACTGTGTGTTGTCAGCCTGCCCTACCCAGGAGCCTGGCTCTAAAGTCTTAGTACTAATTCTTTTTAACCGAGAGGAAGGCCATTCCTATCATAGGGATCCCTGTGGGGGGCCTTGCCCTTATTCTAGCAAGCTGCCCCTAGGCAAAATGTTTTTAGCTCCCCTTGGAGAATTGCTGTCTGAATCTCTAACATGATGGCAGGAATTCATCTCTCAACTGAGCCTAGTGAGCAGGGTGGGCAAAGAACCACGTAGGAGAACCATTTGCTCAAGAGGCTCATAGACTGCTCAGACAGTGGGTCCCAAAGATGACTGTTTCCAAAGCATTATCTGTGCACTTGTAGGGGTTGCCTTTACAGGGTAGTAGAATAGGATGAGCAAGCCAGGGGTCCATAATGACCCACTATTCCTCCAGCTGCGAAAAAAATGTGTGTTCATTGCTGAGAAGCCCAATTACTTATTCCTAGCTGAGATGATTTAGGAAACTGAAGAGCAGGACCCAGAAGGCTTGTTGGAGGTATGGGTGAGCTCAGTGAATAGGGATTTTCCTTCTTGTGCCCAGAATGTTGGCTCACTCACATCCCTCTCCTGAGTGCTGTGTGTGATGGGGGCTGACCCTCCCTCCTTTGCCCTCAGCCCATCAGGCCACAGTCAAAAACTGGGACCTGGAAGATTGAGGTCCAAATCCTGGCACCATCACATACTAGACATCTGACACTGGGTAAGGGTCATCACCTCTCTGAGCCATGATTCCTTCATCGAGGGAATGCAATAGTATCTCCACAGTAGATAGAGTTAGGTAAAGCCCTTGGCTTGTAGAAAGCCTGCTCTGGGGGTCCAGTTCCAGTTGGATCTGTTTTCCCTTCATCACCCTCCCAAATCCTTCTGAACTCTGTGACCAGAATAAAGCAGCCAGCCCCTCCTCACCTCCCTACATCTCTCAGGCATGTGGTTTCCAGCTAATCCTCAGCTGGGCCGCCCAGGTAACAGGGAACCCTAGGTTTGGACTCCCCAGGACAGAACAGCTTAAGTATAATGCCTTTTATTTAGACAGCGCTTTGAAGTTTACAAAGCCCTTTCATAGATGCAATTTCACTGGCAAGTATTTCCCCTTTGGAGTCAAGGGGAATCAGGCTCAGAGAGGTAAGGGGACTTGGTTAAGATCACACAGATGGCTACTGAACTAATAATTCATTTCTGGCTGGCAAAGGATGTGTCTCCCACCCTGCAGCAGGTAGTAGCAGCCTGCTTGTCCTAAACCTAAGTCCCCACTCCCAGTGCAGGGAGGCAGAGCTGGGGGTGAGGCCCAGCTGGAGTGGTTGCTCCACTTTGTCTGACGACACGATGCTGTTTGCTGTGCTGTTCTAGCATAAACACTATCTCACAACCCTTATCATGTAAATAATGCCACCTCTGCTCAGAAAGGAAAAGATAAGAAGAAAGCCAAGTATGACAGCTTGCAGGAGTTAAGAAAGAATAAGAAGGAACTGGAGTTTGAGCAAAAGCTTTACAAAGAGAAAGAAGAAATGCTGGAGAAGGAAAAGCAACTAAAGATCAATCGGTTGGCCCAGGAGGTATGTGTCCTGCTCACAGCCAGTTGGTCATCCCTGGGACACACTTTGGTTGTCCTTCACCACACTGTTGGAGACCAGCTGGAGTCGTTCTCCCAAGAAGGGGTCCAAAGATGACTTCTTCCCTCCCATCTGGACAATAAGATAATCCCACCTGCCCATTGATACCCGCCGCCACTCCTAGATTTGGTGTATTTTTGAGCTGAAAACTTACCTGCTGGCTCAGAGGATGAGTCCAAGGCTAACCCTTCTCCCTGGTTTAAAGCTCTGAAGCTAGTTTTCCATACACCTGTCTAGAGGTCTGCGATAGTCTGGACCCATACCCAGGTTATGAGTCCAAGTCTAAGTCTCCCCAGGCTGGCTTGGCTTTGACCACATGGGCTAAGGCTAACCTTTTATGCAGATGTGAAGTCTGAGGCTAGACCTCTTTAACCTGACAATGTATCTAAGACTTTCCCCTGCCAGACATGTCAAAAGCAATCTTGTGGCATGAGCAATTGTTATTTCCTGGGTGAGGCAGAGGGATGAGGTCCCTCTATCCACTCCCACCCAGGACCTCACCCATGCCCACCCACTGCCCGAGGTGCTGGAAGAGGCACTGGACCTTAACTCCCTAACTGCAGAGATATTTTTTCTGCTTCTCCTTAATGTTTTCATGAATCAGAATGCCAAGCCAATTAGATTATAGAACCAGAGAAGTCCTGGAAAATGTGAAAAGCATTAGGTCTGGCATTAGAAACGAATTAGCTTCAAAATTGAAAATAAGATTCGACTTGTGCTTCTGAAGACGAGGCAGCCTGGTGGGGGAAGATCAGTTCAGTTCTTAGACTGTACAGGGAGGCTACAAAAGGGCCATACTTGGAGAATAACAAGATCTCAGGGTCCAGCCAATCCCATGCAGCACCTAAACCCTTTCTTTGATTTTGCTAATAGATTTCCTAAGTCAACTTCCATCCCACCATCCCCTGCCCCTTGTTCTGCCTCCTGGGAACCAGGTGAAACATGCTTTCAGGATTTTCAGACAAGTGGCACCCTAACTCCTCTAGGGCTTTTAGCGAATGCTTCCATTTGTTGGCTGCTCATGTGATTCAGGTGCCCTGTGTCTTCTCCTTCGGGCCTTGGTGCTGGGTCCCAGGTATCTGAGACCGAGCGAGAAGACCTTGAGGAATCCGAAAAGACTCAGTACTGGGTGGAAAGGCTCTGTCAGACGCGCCTTGAGCAGATTTCCTCTGCTGATAATGAGATTCCAGAGGTAACAGTGCCCTTTTTTCCACAAAGACCCTCCTGCCCCCTTCAGAATGACCACCCTGGGGACAATGGAGGCATATTTGCCACTAGCAAGTGTTACCCATTCCACTGTCCAGGGCCCACCCTTTCTGCCCCTTCTCCTCCCTCTTAGGAAGCTGGGCATGTGTGTATTGGGGATGGGAGATGTGTCTTGACCTGTGTGCTTATCTCCAGTGTGACTACTGTGTCCCAGCTGGTCTGTGATGGTCCTAGCTAGGCCTGTTGTCCTATCATAATTACTAAGAGCATCACTCACATACTCAAATGCATTCTGGTTGTGATGATAAACTACTAATTGCTTTACCCTGATGGCATGACTTTGGCATATCCTGCACCCCAAAGCACACACAGTTCTAGTATGGAGGAGGAGGGTCTCCAGCAGTAAGAGAAGTAGAATAGAAGAGAATGGTCCCCAGTGTACTGTGAAGTGATGTGCTAATCAGTACAGATAATCACGGCCTTCCTTGAAATCCCCAGATGACCACAGGGCCCCCGCCTCCCCCACCCTCTGTGTCTCCCCTGGCCCCACCCTTGAGACGCTTCGCAGGAGGCCTGCACCTCCACACCACTGACCTGGATGACATCCCCTTGGACATGTTCTACTATCCCCCCAAGACTCCCGCAGCCTTGCCTGTGATGCCCCACCCTCCGCCCTCCAACCCCCCTTCCAAGGTCCCTGCGCCCCCTGTGCTTCCGTCCTCGGGCCACGTGAGTGCCTTGTCCTCACCCTGGGTGCAGCGCAATCCACCCCCCATTCCCATCCCTCCTCCTCCGTCCATTCCCACCCAAGACCTCACCCCTGCCCGCCCACTGCCCGCGGCGCTTGAAGAGGCACTGGGCAACCACCCGTTCTGTGCTGGGGACGTGGGCAGTGGATCAGAGGACTGGGAGGCAAAGAACCACGGTGGGAAGCCCAGCAGCTCCCCTGGCCCTGAACGGAGCCTCCCGCCCGCCACAAAGGTACCTGCATGCTATGCTTGGAAACACAAATGCGGGGGACTGCTATTCCTCAAGCCCTCCATGTGCATGGGGACAGGAGGAAACAGCATCTCACCCCATTTTCCAGGAATGATCCCCCGTCCTGCATGTTGGACATCCTGCATGTGTGTGGTTCTGGCTGGCTTTGCAGTGCTGTATGTATGGTGAATTGCTGGGGCTCTCAGGCTGAGCAGCAGCAGTGTCCACCCAGGTTTGCTGCCCTGTCTCAGTAGTGTGGACCCGGAACTTGCAACATGGTACTTTAAGGCTGTGCTCATGCATAGCCAGCCTGGGCCACAGCTGGTCATTTCTTGAGATTATCCCAGAAAGCCTTGAACATGGGAAATGACTCTTGGGTTTAATAGGAAAAGTGGGGTGGCAGGGACTTATTAAGCTCTGAAGAACAAGTGACAACTTGGTGGTGTTTCCTATGTCACAACACCATTTCCCAGGGCACCAGCCAACCACACTTGCCTGAAGTGTGGTAACTCAGAAATTTCTGGCCAACATCCAGCCACATGAAAAATGAAGCCAGAGTTCATAGAAATATCTCAATTTACTACTAAAAGACTAAGGTTTTTTTGTTTGTTTTGTTTGTTTGTTTGTTTTTTGTTTTTTTTTTTTTTTGGATGTCAAGAAACTGAATGGCGATCTTCTCAAAAAGGCCTATGTCTTATTAATTGTTCTTTATCCAAAGACTGTTTTGGAAGAGATGATCCCTGAGGAGACAAACTTTTGAACCCAGGGGAAAACAAATTATTCCTTTGCTTTCTGAGCCAGGTAGGGTACGGGGAAGATGGGGAGAGGCTAGTCAGTAGTACCTCACCAGTGGTTTTTATTGCCCTTCCCATTTGAGTTCTCTGGAGGAAGGGAGAAGTCTCTCTGCTCCCAGGAGCCAGTTTGCAGTTGGCTGGGTCACCTGGCACAGAGGGCCACGTCCTTTTCAGTAACTGGCCACCACTGACAAGGCACAGCAACTTTTCTACAGTGAGTTTGATTCTCCAGTCAGAGACTGAGCCCTGGCTTGTGCCTTTTGGGCTGAGGGGCAGAAGGGACCACACCTGAGCCTTCTAGAATTTCACCATCCAAAGGGAGAGCAGCCACCCAGGTGGGACTTTGCTGTAAAGTAGCACCAGCCGTGCTGTGGGGAGGTGTTTGTTCCAGGGGGTGGCTGAAGACACCTCAGGCCTATGAGCCGAGCCTTGAAGGATGTGACCCGTGACGATGGAAAGAAGGGTATCACAGGTGCAGAGGACATATGGGCGGCAAGAGGGACTGCAAGGAGTCAGGTTGCCTGGGCGTGAGTCATGGCTCTGCCACTCACTGGCGGGGAACTTTGGACTTGTGTCACTCCCTATGCCTGAGCTTGGGCCTCCCCATCTATAAAAGAGGACTGCTGTTATGAGAGTCAAAGAAGATAATCCAGAAACACTGAACACAAAAGCGGGGAGAGAAACCCATGAGTGCATCCTAAAGAGGAGGGAGACAGGCGCATAGGGGATGCCCGGTAGCCACTAGACATGCTTAGTAACGATCCAAGTAGGAGTAAATTTGATGAATCTGCCAGCGTGGACAGGAAGTCATCTCAGGAGACCTCAATGTAGAGTTAAAACTTCAGCTCGATCACTTTCTGTGTCCCCTCCACGCGAGTGTCTTAAGTGACATCAAAGCCACAGCTGACGCTGTCATGCAGGCCAGCATTATCTTGCTGGTGTCAGCATTCTGGCCCTTGTCCCACCTGCCCTGCCCAGTCTCTTCCTCCTCATATGCCCAGCAAGTCACCATCAGTGCTGCAACAGGTGACAACACGTCCACACAGCCCAGCCACAAACAGGGCTCAGGTGGTGGAAACAGGTACCTGTGTCAGCTTGACACTTGTGCCAGCCACACCAGCACCTGCCTGAGCGAGGTTATGAGGGCCAGATCTACCCCCAGGCACCATCTGGTATCTCTACCATACTAGTGAATCATTCATTTAGTCAGTCAACACCCATTCCCTGAGCAGATACTGTGTTGGCCATTGGGGACCCCCACTAAATGGGCAGTCAGGGTCCCTGGTCAAGACAGCCTGATGGGAAAGAAATAGAAGTTGGCAGGCAGTGACCACAGCATTGGTAGAGATGTCAGATGCACAGGGCAAACAAAACAGAAGGAGGGAGAGCATGTGCAAAGGTCCGGGACAAAACAGCACAGCATTTTAGAGGCTAAAGTCAGGCAGTGTGAGGAGGCTCCAAGCAGAAAAGGGTGAGGCTGAATAGAAAGATAGAGAAACTCACGGAGGGCTTTGGGGGTCAAGCCAAGGGCCTCATTGGTTGATAGGCACCTCTCAAAGGGTTTTGGGGGCAATCATGACTGATCAGGCCCATCTTGCTCAATATGCTCAAATGGGCTAGAGTAAAGCACACAGGTTATATTAGTTCCCCTAATGCCATCCTTGCTGTCCTCATCCTGTGGCCTCTGCACACTCTGCCCAAGCCACTGGAAACAGCAGATGCCTTGTGTCGCTATCCAGGAACTGGATTTCAGATGGAAGAGGTTGCCCTGAAAGGGAGGGGACATGAAATGGTCTTGTAAGTGAACCCTCTGAGTGACGCGGCCGATGGACCCCCAATCTAGGCTCTGGTTCAAGTGACTGATTCAGTACCCTGCTCAGTAGTTTCTGTGGCCTTGGACCACAGGGTAGGTCAGTGTGGCCAATGCCCTTCTCATCTCTGTGCTAAAGGTTGCACCCAGGACCCAGTGCAGGATAAGGAGACCAGGCAGGCTCAGCATGTGCATGGAGTGAACTTGCATGTGTGCCATGACCAGCCTTGCCCGCCCCTGCCATGACCTCACATGGGTCTCTCTTCGACTGACCCCTATAGACATTTTGCCCAAGTCCACAGCCTCCGCGGGGCCCTGGAGTGTCCACCATCTCCAAACCTGTCATGGTCCACCAGGAGTCCAACTTCATCTATAGGCCAGCTGTAAAGGCTGAGGTCCTGGTAAGCCCGGTGGGGTCACACCAGGGTGTCTCCAGAGAACCAAACCAGGACCCACCCTCCTGTGTTGTGCCGCCCCTGGAAAGGAAGAGTGTGGTCATCTTGTCACCTTCTCATTGACCATGGCATGAGTCTACGTGTGTGTAGCGGGTGGTGACCTGCCTAGAGGGATCCTATTCCTCCTTGACCTCACGGCCTGCGGCTCCACCTAAAAGTGACAATAGTAATAGCTAAGGCTTCATAGTCCAAGAACTGAGGCTGAGGTGGTCACCCAGGCAGTGCTTGGACTTATGCCTTCTTCTTTTTTCCAAGTATTGGGAATGGACCTCCGGGCCGTCACACTGAAAGCCACATTCCCAGCCCTTTGTGTTTATTTACCTTTAAAATTCTGAGACAGGGTTTTGCTAAGGCTGGGTTCAAATTTGTGACCCTCTTGCCTAAGCCTCCCAGAGTATTGGGATCAGAGGTGAGAGCCACCACACCCGGCTTGGATTTACTGCCTACTCCCGAATCATTTGCACTCTGAGCCATGCCCTTGCCCACATTGTCACCTTGCCAAACCCTTCAGAGCTTCCATTTGCCCCAGCCTCTGTCCCCTAGGCCTATGAGCCGTGGTGTGCGATGCCCTTAGGAGAGAACTGGCCCAGGCAGATACCCTGCCCTCTCTCCATTCACTTCTCCCTCCCTGGGCCAGGGAGTCCAGGGTGTGTCCTGGGGTTCATGGGGAGGTCTCCCCACCAGGCCCTTATAGTTGAAGGAGCTGGGACTGCCATCCAAGCGGGGAACAGATCTACAGCAGCACTTCTATTCCTCCTTCTAGGAAACCCTATCCAAATGTCAGGCTGAGACACCACTATACTTATTTTGAGCTTTAACTGTCCGGCAGCTCTTGGAAGGGCAAAGGTCACACCGCTGAAACAGCCTGCTCATGTGTCCCAGTCACATCCTCTTGTTCATGACAGGGTGGCATCTACTTGACTTCGAGTGGGCAACTACTGAGTTGGGAGTAGGGGTTTGGCCTGGTGTTGAGCACACGCCTAATTCAGGCCACATCTATCAGGGGAAGGACAGGGTGGCTGCAGACTGGCAGGCATGAGGTCTGGCACCAGGGGGCAGACGAGACCTGTTTTTAATGTGTGGTGGGGAATTTTTTTTTTTTTTTTTTTTTTTCTGGCAGCCGCAGGAGATGTTGAAGAGGATGGTGGTTTATCAGACAGCATTCCGACAAGTAAAATGCTAATGCTCACCTTTGTCATGTGTCTGGTCCTCCCCATCACCCATTCACTCCACTGTGCCTGATTTCTTTCTCCCTGGGAGTGCCAGCTGGTTCCGAAGCTGCTCAGTGCCATCTGCCTGACAGCCTCCGGCCACCGCAGGCCTCATACCTCTGACGGGTTGGGTGGGAGGTGTCCTAGAAAGCCAGAGGTCCTGCTGTTTGCTCTTAAGAGGTGCAGGCAGAGAGAACCCTTGGGACCATGGAGGCCAGCCCTGGAAGAGAAGGAGGTCAACTCCTGCACCTTGCCTGTCTGTCTCCTCCAGGCCTTTATCACAGTTTCACCAAATCCCACAGCTCCAGGAGGAAGTGGCCATCCAGCATCTCCACCTGCCCAGGATGCAAAAGTCCTGCTGGTGTCTGGGGTGGTGTCAAACGTGCAGCCTCCAAGCCTCACCACCTTTGGGCCGTGTGTCCAAAGCCAACCACCGCACTGCCTGTTTCACCAGTGAAAGACACCCTAAACTAGAGGGGGACATGGCAGGCAGCCCTGACTTCTTCAGCACCTCCACCTCATGGGCTGATGTGATGCGGAAGGGAAACAACAGGGGTCTATAAAAGAGGCTGCTCCCAGCCCAGGACCAGGAGTGGCGGGGGGCAGCTTGTCCTTAGAAGCACGTAGCGCTGGCACTGTTATTAAATGTGCTACGTATATTAGCTCACTCGATCTTTAAAACAACCCTGGAGGCAGTTGCTATTATCTCCCTTGCTTTATAGATGAGAAATAGGAAGACCTGGAAATGTGCCCATGGCGGTACAGCTAGTGTCACCATGCTGGATTGAAATCCAGGAGGCCGAGCTCTGCAGCCTTCTCCTAAATGCTACATTACTTGCCTCTCAGAGCTCTGCCATTGCCAAACAAGCATCCCATCCAGGAACCCAGTGGTTTGGGATAGCCCTAAACAAGGAGAGAGGTGCCTAAGGGAGGTGTCTGGGCTCCAGGCTTAGTTAGGGTCAAAGTTTGTTCGGCATGAATGTCACCTGGCTGAGCCCAGGAATGATGGGTGGAGGCCCCTCTTGAAGGGCCACCAGCTGCAATGGCTTGTGGTCTCTGCTTCACACAAGAGCTGCGCTCTGCCCCATCTTGGAGGACAGATCCCCAAGGCCAGGCCCCCATTGTCCCACTCTTTGGATGGAGCAGCCAGGGGCAGGCAGGGCCCTCTAGGATCGAGGCCCAGACCCCATCACATGAGGGTTTTTAGCGTGTGACTCGACACCACACCCCTACGTGGTTGTGGGCCCACACCTCTGCAGGGCTGAGCCGGGGGTGAAGGGTGGTGAGCAGGGGTGGCAGGCGGATACCCAGGGAGCCATCTGCTGGTATTGGTCCTTCCTCTCATGTCCGGAGCTTGGGACTGTATGCTGGGCTTCCCCTTGGCCTCCCTAAAACACTGATCTCAGGCTCTGAAGGATACTTGCTGTGACCTAGGGAACTGCATGCTGAGGCTGTCGCAGGACCCTCCTTGCCCAGCTCCCGCCTCCCCATGGGAATGCTCTGTGGCTTTGCTGTCCTCGCTCAGTCTTAGCATGCTGGCCCCATGGCTTGCAATGCCTCTCGCTCTGCCCTCTGCTACTCTGCTCACTCTGAGGAGGGCTGGTGTCCTGGCTGTGGTCCCTTCTCCCCACTGCCTTGTTTCTAAATCTTGGAGCCAGCAACCCCACAGCCCCTCCTCAAGCCAGGGCCCCAGAGCCGTGTGTCCTCCCTCCTCCCTGGACCAAGCTGGGGACCCTGAGCTGCAGATAAATAGGGCATGAGAACAGTGCCAGGCACCAGGCAGCATGGCCTCAAGCAGGGCCAGGGCAGTGGGTGGAGGGCATGGGTTCCTCCCCGGGGCCTGGCATGGCCTGGGCGGGCCCTTGGAGGAGGCGAGATAGGGCTGAGTGGCTGATCTGGAGGGCAGGGCCTGCCTGTCCAGGGTTTAGACACCAGCAGTGTCCTATAGCCACGGATGTTCACCTGCTAGACTGTGCAGGGACAGGGTTTGGCCCCTCTAAAAGTTTCTGCAGCCCTGAGCAGGGCACTGTAGCTCTTGGCACCAGCTTCCTCCCTGTGCCCTATCCCAGCCCTGCCTCCCCCTCCTCTGACCCATTCACCCTCTCCCTGACCTACAAGAACCACTGCCCTAAATCCCTCCCTTTGCTTCCAGGATTTCCGAAAATATGAGGAAGGCTTTGACCCCTACTCCATGGTAAGAAATGACTCCCTACCCCAGGAGAGAGAGACAGAGACAGAGACAGAGACAGAGACACAGAGAGACAGACAGAGACAGAGGGAGTATGTGGGGGTTACAGGGTGCTTGGTGCTGGTAAACTTTGGGCCCTAGGTAACATGGGTAACACGAGCGCCCACGACACCTCAGCTGCTCTTTCCTGGAAAGCCTCCTTCCAAATGGCCCTCAAGGGAGAAGTAAATAAGGGGGGTTGGCACTAACTACATGCCAGGATCGTGCTGTGTTTGCAAGGCTGGTGCTCACACCTACCTGAGGAGTGGATCTGGGACATGTGTGACCATAGCTCTGTGTGTGTGTCCCTTGTCCCCCAGAGCTTGGGGACACTCCCACGTCTCAGCAGACTTTTTTTCCTCCCAGTTCACTCCAGAGCAAATCATAGGAAAGGACATTCGGCTCCTGCGCATTAAGAAGGTACCAGGGCATGTGGTGGAGGGTGGGCAGCCACCATCCTTCCCTGCCCGTGGCCCTGCCACCTTGGCTTCCTGCTTCCCCTACTCCCAAGAGCCCATTTTCTCCCCAAGGGCCTCACCATCCCCTGTTCTCTGTGACCGTGTTCAGCAGCTCTTTGATGCCCAGATGCCCATAGACTGCTGTCTGCTTGATCCCTAAGACCCACTGTCCTCTAACCAGGAGGGATCCTTGGACCTGGCCGTGGAAGGCGGTGTGGACTCTCCAATTGGGAAGGTGGTCGTCTCAGCTGTGTATGAAGGGGGAGCAGCTGAGCGGCATGGTGAGTGGGGACCATCTCTGCTTGGGTTTGGGGACAGTGTGATTGCCGCACAAGTGTGTCCTCAGGGAAGCAAACAGCTGCCCGCTTGGAGTGGAGCGGCAGCTACACAGGAAACCCAGGCCAGCCAGTGTACCATCTATCCAGCCTGGCACACTGTCTAGGGGCACACCACAGTGCCAGGTCCTGTGCGTACCCTGCCAAACCAGGTGCCACACTGCCCTCCACAGGCTCCCAGGCTAGGGGCAGAAACATGCCCAGAGCATGTTTCTAACTGTACTGTGCATGAAGGACTGATGGAGAACTTAGGGACAGAGAGGCTGTGGGGACCCATGGAGGTGAGGGGGCTGAGGGAAAGCACCTTGGAAGGGCAATGCCTGAACTCAGCCTTAAAAAGTGAATCACAGCCGGGCCATGGCAGCATACACCTGTAATCCCAGCTTTGTGGGAGGGGCGGATTGGTGAGGCAGGAGAATCACCATAAATTTGAGGCCAGTCTGGGTTACATAGTGAGATCAAGACCAGCCTGAACTACATAGTGAGACCTTGTCTCAAAAAAACAGAAAAAGAGAGAGAGACAGACAGACAGACAGAGACAGACAGAGACAGAGACAGAGACAGAGACAGGAAGGAAGGAAGGAAGGAAGGAAGGAAGGAAGGAAGGAAGGAAAGGAATCAGTGCCAACCTTGTGAAAGGGAAGGAGGGTTTCACGAGAGAAGGCAGCAGCACACAGAAAGGCAGCAGAGACGCCACCCAAACCCAACCTACCCTTTGGTGACGACAGGATGCAGGGAATTAGGGATGTGTCGGTTCCAGTCTAAGCTCCTGGCAGGTAGGAGCCCATGCCTAAGTGTTTCCAGTAAACCCCAATGGAGATGTTATAATTATTCCCCCATTTTGCAGCTTAGGAAACTGAGGTACAGAGAAGTCAAAGTCCTTCTTTGAGGATCCACAGCCAATAAAAGATGGAGGTCAGACTTAATTTAGACAGATGGCCATTTGGCTTTCTTACCAGTGCAAGTACCGCTCCACCTGAGGTCCTCAGCAACCAGAAGCCCCCACGGCCCGTGTCTCTCTCGGGGATTTTTCTTTGTCCCCTTTTCAACCAAAGCAGGCTCTGCTGCTGAGTGAAGTTTTGCAGACGCTAGGCTCAGTATCTTGCTTCAAGCACTCCTCCTCTTTCCCTGTTAGACAATGTCAGAAAGTCCGCCATTGCTGATTTCTTCTGCCTGTCTGGGGGGCTCTTCAGCACCCTCAGAGGAGAAGCCCCTGGCCCTTCCCTGCCCAGGCTGGAGTGGGAATCCTGTGATCAGACCTCTGCAGCAGCCCTGGCTGGCTCACCCCCTCCCCCAGCAGGGAGTGGGGAAGAATGGAGGTGCTAGACAGTGGAGGCTTGAGGCAGGAGAGGGGTGAAGAAAGAGGCGCCCCATGGCTGGTAGCCAGGCTTCTGCTATCACCAAGGTGGGCGTGCACCTTGGGAATCCTGGCTGCAAGCCAGCTCGGCCACATGTAGTGTCCATGGCCTCAGTGCCCTCAACACCCTCTGAGTTTTCCTCTCCCCTGAAGGAGGAGCTTGTCCAGCAAGGCAGCCACCCTAGCTGACGTACCTTCCTCTGACCTTACTCCTGGGCCATCCAAGGGAAGATTGCTGCATGGCCCAGGGAGACCTCCTGTCTCCTTACCTGGCAGGGAGAGGAGGATGGCACAGGTGACTCTGCCCTCCTCACTGACAAAGCCCTAGACCAAACGCTGCCTTATTTACCTTGGTTTTGTACAAAATGAAAACATGGAAGTCACCTGCCTCAGTCCCTCTGTCCAGAGGGTACTTCTGTCTACAGTCTGGTGCCACACTTCTTTGGACATCCATATGGCTGGTGGAAGTTCCTAGGAGCACTTGTGTTTGAAGCCACCTTGGCCACCATCTTCAGTAGCACACACCACACTCCCATGGGCTTCGCACAGGCGCTAATTCAGTGTTCTTCAGACATCATGACTGAGAAATTCCTCAAAAAGGGTTTTGATATCAGAGAGGTATAGGAAACCATACACAATCTGTCCACCTAGCCACAATACGTATTAATGAACTCATGGCTCTGATAACTCCCATTTAGCTTATAACTCAATTCCTTCCCAAAATTGTTAAGATCACCAGACAGCTTATCCAGGGACACCTTTTAATACCAGTCACTTAATCAATGAATATCTAGTGAGCACCCATTTTTTTGCTACGTTATGTGAAATGCTAGAAATAAAGCAGTGAACCACTGCTCTCATGGCAATGACCATATGGTGGGAGAGACCACCTGTACCAAGTTTTTAAAATACAGTTAGGAGCACAGATTGTGTGCTACATTGGAAGAGACCAGGACACTGGGAGAGAAGATTGGAAAGAGCTGCTTTTGATCAATAGGGTCAGGGAAGCCTTCCCCGTGGAGGTGGAGGAGACATTCATACCAGACCCAGAAGAAGGGAGAAGGCGTTCCAGAAGAGTGGCCTGAAGGCTGTGGGCAGGGACAGGCTGGAGGGACCCTGAGCAGAACAGCATGCCAGGCACCAGGGAAGGGTATGGCTGCAGAACTAGCTCGAGCCTTTTTTTTTTTTTAATTGGTACCGGGGATCAAACTCACGACTGCCTGCTTGCAAGGCAGGTTCTTATGCCGCTGACCTAAATCCCCAGCCCCAGCTTGAGTTTCTTGTCAGCTTCCTGGAAATGCAGAACTGTCCCCTCTGTAGTAATCAGGGCCCATCCAGGAGCTATGGCCATGAGTTCTCATAATTGTCCCAATTCTACCGAGCCGGGGAGAGAGTGCGGGGACGGGGCAGAGAGGAAGCACCTGTGGTTGACTAGGTACAGTATTTCCTTCCTGCTCTCAGAGCCCAAGGCTGGCCTCTGCTGAGCCCACAGCGACTGTCCCTTGCAAGCCCCAGGCTGGGCACGTGATCCATGCAGCCCTGTTGGCCACTCAGCTCCATTTCCCGCAGGTGGCATCGTGAAGGGGGATGAGATCATGGCGATCAATGGCAAGATCGTAACAGACTACACTCTGGCTGAGGCGGAGGCTGCCCTGCAGAAGGCCTGGAGTCAAGGCGGGGTAAGACCAGCCCCTCCTTCCCCCATCTCCTTCCTGACTCAGCCCCTGGCCTCTGAAGCCAGGACTTGAAGTTGGATTGGGTGCCCATCCCAAGGTGGGCATCTAAGATCTGGAAAACTCCCGAGTGGCTGGCATATACTCCCATCCAACAAGTGGACTAAATTTGATCACAGTGGCACAAATGCAGACCCTGAAGACTGGTCATGGCTGTGCACTCTGTGTGCAGCATAGGAATCCAGTGCTGGGGGCATCAGAAAGCATTAACAGAAGTAGAGAGCCCAGGATGAAGGAGGGGCTGGTGGTAGCCGGCTCAGGGTGCATTAGACACTCACCTGGGTCAGGGCCACCATGAACAATCTCCCACAGGCTGTGTACTGCACAATATGAGGGAGATCATAGTGTGAATGGTGCCCACTCATGTTGTGCAATGCACAACCTGTGCAACTGTATGCAGGCAGCCGAGCCTGAGGTATTAAGTTCAGTGCCGAGGATGCTGACCAGATGGGCCTGGGACCCACATGAAGGGATGTGGAGAAGAGAAGACTTACGGGTAACACCATGACTGTCTCTGATTACCTGAAGGGCCACCCTAGAGTAGAGGGAGCAGAGGTGCTCTCTGTGATTCTGGAGGGCAGAGCTGAATTGGATAGAGGGTGGCTCTGGGGAGAGAGATTTCCATTCAGTTTTGGGAGCTGTCACATGGTACATGGGCCAGTGCTATTTTAGGTACTTTTCAGGGGATACATGCAAGCCTGGGATGGACGTTATCTGGCAAGCTAAGGATAGCAGTAATGACATTGAGGGACTCAGGTGTTAGGATCAGAAAGAGAGATCAGAATCCCTTTCTGACATGAGGCAAAATGCCACAGAACTACCTGGGGAGCATGTTAGAAAGGACCACCCCAGACTTCCAGGAACCAAGTTCAAGAGTCTCCAGCTTTTACAGATTCCCTCAGGTGGTTCTAAGGACGCTGCCTGGCCCTGGTCCACAGAGGAGCATTAGGAACTTAGGGTCACTTGAGGGCCTTACACGCCCATCCCTACAGCCTTGGGGACTGGAAATGTCCCCCAGAGCCCAGGACCCTACAGGGGGAGGAGGACTCCAGCCCTTCCTGTGTCCGCTTCCCACGGAAGCTCTGTGCTGGTGGGCACAGGAAGTGATGGAGCCTCAGGCAGAAGATCCCTCCTCCCCTAGCGTGCCCTACAGTCCATGGCTTCTCCCCACAGGACTGGATCGACCTTGTGGTTGCCGTCTGCCCCCCCAAGGAGTATGATGATGAGCTGTAAGTGTGAGGACGTCTGTCTTCTTTCTGCCCCAGCGTTCTGGTCACCTCTTCCCAGCCTCTTCCAGCCACAAGGAATGGTCCAGGCCCACTGCTGCTTGCACTCGTGGGTCCCTGAACACCCTGGGCTGGAGAAGCCCCAGAACCAATCACTGTCCCCAGATAGTGTCAGAGCCACTCCCAAGACTGTCATGAAGGGAAACCAAAGCTCAAGGTCTCAGACCAAGTACACAGTGAGCGTTGGGACAAGGACCCCTGATTTTTGATTCCCCACTCAGAACTTTATCCTTGGCACTACTGCCATGTAGAGACTTCTGTGTCCCTCTGTCACTCCTTGCAAGATCTTCTTGATGTCTGACTGTATTTGCTCATGCTGTGTCTCCGGGCAGCCGGTTACACGCTCTTGACCCCACACTGAGCTTTCAAAGGAGCCTTGGCCTGGTTCTGCTTTCTCTGTGACTGCCTGTGTCTGTCTGTGTCTCCCTCTGTCCTCCCTCTCTCCCTCCAGTCTCTCCCCAGTTGTTCCTGCCTTTCCCCTCCATCCTTCCACCTCCCTCCCCGTCTAGTCCCCCTTCCCCTCCCCTCCTTCTTGCCTCCGGGCTCTCAGTCCCTACTTTTCTTCCTTGGCATTCTGCACGCAATTGTATCTGTCTGCTGCTATCTGTCTGTCTTCCTCCACTGGAGTTTCTGTCCCTAGCTCATCACCCACCACTCACACCCTCACTATGTCACAATCACACCTGCTGGCTTCTCCTGCCCAGCAGAGTCCAACTTCCCCATCTGTCCCACTCCTGATGTTGCCACTCATGGCCGAGGCAGGACCAAAGACAGGAGGCAAGAGCAGGCAGAGGCCAGGCGGAGCTGTGCCCAGGAGTAACCAAGTCCTTTTTGTTTCCTGCTCTGCTCTGTGTATGTAGCCCTTCTCTTCCCTCCTCTGCAGCCGAAAGCCCCCAGCCGGTCCGAAAGCTCCTTGAAGCCGGTGCTCCCGTGTACAGACACGGGTTTCTCCTGCAGCTGGAGCCCACGGTGAATAGGCAGGTGGCCATAGGCCATCCGTCCATGCCACGTGTGGTAGCCACATGCTGCCCACGCTGCCGGCGGGTTCTTTGGACTGGCATCTGGCAGGAAAATGAGGCACCACCGAGTCTGGCACTGGCTTGGCATGCAGGTGTCCTGACAGCCCTGGTGAATGGGCTCGATCTCCATGGCAGCTCCCAGGAGCTGGAGAGAGCCCTGAGCTCTGTTGTTCACTGGCAGAGTTGGTACCTCAAGCCAAGCATGCTGGGCTGGGAGAGCTCACAAGAGTCCAGCCTGAATGCCACCTCCAACCCTGGCTGTTCTTGACTAAATGTGCCTCCCTTTCCCATGGGTACCACCCTGCTGGAGCAGGGCCTGTTACAAGGATTTTAAGCTGGTCCAAAGAACCAGGGGTAGTGGATTTGCATTGCTCATGTCTTGTGGTGCCCTGTCATGGCCTCAGCCCAAACTGTCCTCTGCCTTCTCCCTCTTTTGGTCAGGGCTGTATCTGTGGGACACACTCTGGGGCCCAGCCTTCGGATGTGGTTCCCTCCCTGTGCTGGGTGGCTGTAAACCTGGGTTGGATGGGACCTGAAGCCCACAAATGCCATCTGAGGCAGAGCCAAGCCTGTTACAAACTTCTCTTCCAAGTTTCCCAAAATATCAAGGCCAAAAAAAAAACATCAAGGCCTTAAGCTCCCAGGACAGTTGGCCTCCTGAGCCATGGCTCCTGGGTGGCCTTAGCGGCCCTCCTTCTTCTGTCACTTGCTCTTTTGAGGACCCCTGCTCCTCTTCCTTCCCATCCCTGTCCCCCTACCCCTACCCTCATCCCTGGAATCTTTTCTGCTTTCTCCCTGCCTCCTGTGTGCTGTGGCTATGGCTGGTGTGGAGCTGCACCAAGAGGGGCGTTACGTGGTTGGTAGTGCCCTAGCCTTCTGGGACAGGGACACCCAGTGTGGGATCTCACCCAGGAATGTGTCACCCACAAGGCCTCCCCCTTCCTTGTCTATTTCTTCTCCCCCACAGGACTTTCTTCTAAAGTCGAGGGAGAGAAAACAATTTCATCCCTAGAAAACATGAGCCCTGGACCTGCCCCTTCAACACAAAGCCTGCTGTCAATCTTGCAAGTCCTCCAGCAGGTGTTCTGAAACCCAGAGCAGAGTGGCACCCAGGAATTTCCAGCCCTGTGGCCCAGAACTACAGCTGGATAAGGAGCACCTCAGGTGCTGAAGACCTGCACAGCAGAGAGGGAGCAGCCCGACCCATGATGCTGGCCTCTTCCGCCTCATACAGGACACCGGTCTCTCTCTTCTTTCCACCATCCATCCCTCTAACTGGTCTCCTGCTGTGATTACTGCCACACACCACACTCCAAGCTCACTGATGAAATAAACAGGTTTCTTTTCCAGCCTAGGGGGGTGAATGCAAGGATGTGCGATAAAAAAAATTTCAAGGTTTTGGCTGTTGTCCAAGGATGAGCTGCAGATCCCAGCTCTGTGACCCGGGTTTGATGTGAGGAGGTGATGAAAAGGACCCGGGCTGGCTTAGAGTGGAGCTCAGGCAGCAGCAAACCGACTGAGTGGGGCTTCGGGGTGTTCTTATCAGAGAGAGGCCAGGAGGCAGGAAGCCCTAGAGGGCCACCTCTCATTGTGAAGTCCCTTGGCCTCTCAAGGATGGCATGACTGTAGCTACCCTTCTGGGGTTACCAAGACAGGGTGGGAGAGAGGTTTAGGGGGTCCACCCTCTCCATGAGACACCTCAAACAGAACCGCATAGAGGGAGAAAGGGGTGGGAGCAGGAGTGTCACCCCAAGGTCCCGAGCGGGGCAAGTCAGGGCCTCCTGGTTACAGGGACCGAAGATTCTAGCTCCATGGGAAAATGAGGTGGCAAATCCCATGCATATCTCAGCCACCTCATGCAAAGCCAGGATAAGCAAGCATGAATTACCTGAGAGTTGGGAATGGAAGATGGTTTTGATTTAACATGTCCTGGAGATCCAGCTCTTGTGGTGGTAGCCTCATGGCCTCTTAGCATCTTCAACCACCCTCCTATCCCTGTCACTGGCTCCCTGGGCTTCTGCAGAGCTCAGTTTGGATGTGCTGTCAAAGTCATTGCCTAGCAGGGCATGGTGGCATGTGGCTGTAACTCTATCCCTATGAGGCAGGAGGACTGCAAGTTCAAGGCTAGCATGGGTCACTTAGCAAGACCCAGTCTTAAACTAAAAATAAAAAGGGCTGTATGTAGCTCCTTGTGAAGCTCTGGGTTCAGATCCTAGTACCACAGTCATCGTCATCATCAGTGCCTATCCTAGGTGACCCTAAGCTGTGCTTCCACTACCACCTGGCTCCGTTCAGTTGGCCTAACTCACCTGGAACCAATTCCAAGTCCACCTGCCTGTGGCTGCAGGATAGGTATGTCATCAAGGAAATCAGTTCCCTTTAGATGTTGTCCCTGTTGATGCAAAGTACACAGCAGATTAACTGGCATTAATCAGGTAAGAAGCAGAATGATCAGCCAAGCATGGTGGTGTAGTCCTAGAATCTCAGAACTCTGAGAGGCTGAAGCAGGAGGGTCAAAAGTGCAAGCCCAGGCCAGGCAGGCAGTTTAGCAACTTAGTGAGACACTGTCTTGGAAAAAAAAAGGCTAGGGATGTAGCTCTCAGTGTGAAGGCTCCAGGTTCAATCACTGTTGAGAGACAAAGAAAGAGAGATTCAGAAAATCTGTGTAAAGTTGAGGGACCTTAGTCCATTGCTGACCAACTTTGGGGGCCATGGGAGGTATGGCTGAGGCTGGGGTACACAGAAGGACTGAGTCAGACAAAGGGATCACATCAGGGACCAAGACTGAGTGCTTAGGACTGAACATACCCAGCCAGCTTGTGGTCCCTATGTCACCTGTCCCTCATCATGCAAGGTGGACCCATCGCTTCCATCCCCACGCTCTAACCTGTCCTCTACAGCCGCTAACACCTCATCAAATCCAGCCACCAATGACCTTTGTTGTCACCATTCAAATGTCCCCAGATGAGGAACCCCCACCTCTAGATACTGAGGCCAAGGAGGAAATGATTGATGAGGAGCCCTTTTAACCACACCCCACAGTAGAAACACAACCCGAAAAGGCTGGGAACTTGAGGATCTCTTGGACTCTGAGCTCTTAGTATTCTGTGCCTCTCATTGAAGTCGCTTCCCACAGTGTCCCCAGGGTCATAGAGCTGGCAGCTTTGAGCCTCTCACCTCTGCCTCTGGTAGTCGGGGTGAAAGTGTATGGCCTCCGCTTCTGAGATGCTCCCCGCGGGCGGGCCTCTGTGGGCTGGGAAGCTTGTTCCCACCAAGCCCCAGACGAATTCTCAAGTCTCAGCTTTGGATAAGAATCTCTTTCCTGAGCCGAGAGCCTTGTTTTCTCCTGCCCCGTGGTGACACTTCCCTGCTCCCCGGGGCCCAGGCTGGCCCAGCTTCTGTGAGAACTGGAAAGGGAAGGCATGGACCCCTGAAGAGGGCAGGTGGGGAGGGCAGAGGGCCGCAGCTGTCCTTCTGGGGACGGGGGTGTGCAGCTGGAGCCTCCCCCTCGTTGCTGCTGGCCTACATAGCAATGATTGCTACCAGCTACTGAGGGTCCGTGACTTTGGATGATTCCACTGTGAGGTTTTGATTTTACAATGGCGCAAAGGCAACAGACAGTCATCAGAAACTTCACTTCAAATTCTTAGCTTTGATCATCTCCTGTGTGTATACTGTGTGGCTGAGCTATGCTGATTGGTAGGTAGATGTCTTATATGCATTTTTAGCTTGTAATATTTCCAACTCATGACGGTGCAATACTATGCATCTGGAATGTCCCTCCCAGACATGTGTGATAAGGCTGAGTGCCCGGCTTGGTGCTGTTAGAAGATGGTGGAAAGTTTAAGAAATGGGGCCCAGAGGGAGGCATTAGGTCTATGGGGGTGTTGCTTGAAGGAGACTGTGGATCCTTTCTTCTCTTGTTGGCTTCTGGCCATGAAGTGAGGGCCCTTCCACTACGTGCTCCCACTGTGACATGATGCCTTACCACAGGCTCAAGAGCAATGTACCCACCAGTCATGGAAACCTCCAACACAGCCAGCCAGAGTGTAACCTTCCTACTTTTAAGTTGTTTATCTCTGGTATTTTGTTACAGTAATGGAAAGTTAGCTAACATCATGGGTTTAGCAAGACCATAGGTATCTAACACAAAATTGTTTGCCATAACCTAAGCTTGGTATAATTTAAGTTTTATCTTCAAAGATTTACATTTTGAAACATAGCACAGATAAGTTAATTTTCACCTTGAAGACACCTGTTTAAGTCACTTAAATGAGCAGTCAAATTCACCAAAAATGCTAAATCTACGAGCCACTTTTCATCTTAAGTTCTGGCATGAATTTTCCTTTTGAGTCCATAAATAACTTGATTTCATCTCTCAAATCATAAAATCTTTTCAACATTTTACCCCAGTTCAGCTGGCTTACTTCAGAAAAGTAAATGATATCCCCATAATCAGTTCCCATACTTTTAAGGAACTGCTGGGATTGATGATTCAGTCAGTTAGACCCTATGAAATTTATAGCTTTGATGCTACTTTGCGTGACATTATCCATTTTAAAAGCTTTTGCACATTACATTTTCTTGATGTATTATGCAGCACTATTTCATCAAATGTGAATTTCTAACAGTAATTGCATCATCTTCTATTAGTGAGATATATATATATATACATATATCCCTCCTGCTTTTTAACCAACCATCATTAGTATAGCATTAAAAGCTAGACCAGAGAAGTTTTGTGACAAAAGTTAAAGAAAACTGCTTTAATGTGATTTTCACTGCTTCCTGAGGTTCATGCCACTTAGTTGTGTCTAATGGCACAAAAAAAGCCACTTGTGATGGTTTCTATCTAGATGTCCCCCCGCCCCCAAAGCCTCATGTGCTCATAGATGGGGCTTTGGGAAGCTAACTGGATTACAGGGGCAATTAGGAGGCGGGGTCTGGTTGCAAAAACAGGTCCCGGTTCCGTGACCCGGAAGTATTCATATCCCTTTCTGGCTCTTCCCTTGACTCTCACTGCTTCCTGGCTGCCATGACGGGAGCAGCTTTCCTCCTCTGCCATTCTGCCTTGGAGGCAGCCAACTGGAGTGAAACCTCAAAAAAATGTAAGCCCAAGTAAACTTCTCCTCTTTTAGATTGCAGATATTGGTTATAGTGACGGCTCAAAGATCAAGACACTATTTCTTTTGGGACATTGTATTCATTATCAATATCTATAATGAAAATGACAAGTTAAGCCAGTCCTTAGCATCAATACTTGAATATATTACCAAAATGTAAAATTGGAAACTAACAGCTTTACTCTCCAAATCTCTTTTCATAGATTTTCCTGTTTCTTCAATTCCCTAGCTGTAGTCTGGTGAGACAAACTGATATTAGAAAAAATCATTTTTTTATTCAGACAAATTATATATCTCATGCTTTATATACATTGCTTAGTAAAGTTATCTTCGATGAATGATTTTGATCCTCTAGCTAGCTTGTATGATAGGAGACTTTTCTAAAAATGTGTTGAGATTATAAGCTTTTTCAATTCATAGGTATTTTGTCTTTACCAAACATTCCTTGAAAGCCATCAGATTTAGCAGCATATTTTTGCATAAAAAATCTTTTCAGATTACAGTATTTGAGAACTGATACAATTTTCATACAAATTAAGCATAGTGCCTTTTTATTTGTCTTGACAAAAAAAGTTCTCATCTGTCCATTTTCACTGAATACTCCTCTATCATCCACGATTTTTCTCTTTTGGGGTTCTGTTTTATTTCAAGATGACACTGAAGCCATGCTGAGATTTTTAAAAATTCATAGATAAGCAAAAACTTATTTTTCTAGTATCAATGATGTTGCGTATATAATTATAATATCAAAAGGAAAAACTATTGGATGCATTTCTGTACTTTCTATGTACCACAGCTGATAAAAAAGCTATTTTAAACCATTAAATTATTTTAGCAAATAACACAAGCCTGAGTTTAATAATTAAATAAGAAAACTTGTGTGACTACTTAGTAACAACAAATGTCCGTCTTCACAGACACACACACGTCGGAACACTGAGATGCTGTTATCAGGAATCACTGCAGTTCATTCACCTTCCTGTCCAAGCACACGTGTTGCCCTGTACACTTGAGTCTCCATTTGACCAGCTGGTTGGTACAGGAGGCTGAGCCAACACTGCACCAAGCGTTTCCCTACACAGCACTGTGTCATCATGAAGAACATCACTACAAATCACTTCATAATGTTAAAAGTTCACAATCTCTCCAGACCACATTACCAGCTGTGCGGGATCTCTCTGGCCACGAGCTGAGGCTGATCACACCAAGCAGCTAACACCATGGTA